AACAACCCAGCCGTTTGAAGATGTCCCACGTGGATTGATGGAACTCCATGTGGCAACGGACGGCGTCAACGGCGACCACGGTGGACGCAATTTCAAGTTAAAAACACGATCTCGTGAAATCGAAATCAATTTACTCTCTCCATCACCCCTAATCCTTTGAGCCCTAGAAATCGATTTCAAGGGAAAACTATTTCCCCCAAATCACACTCCCAGGAACCCTAGAATCGACTTCATCTCCCCCAATTCATCTTCCAAGCAACATTCCTTCATCTTCCAAGCAACATACATGGTATGAATTGATTTTTGCATGCGGACCCATCCGCATTTTGATTGCGATTGCTAGACCTGAAGCACCTTCACTTGCACTCATGGACGGAGAAGGTGTAGTTAAATAATTTATTCATCATTGCTTGTTCCATTTGAAGATTGGCTGTTGACATTGTAGTTGTTTAAATGAAAGGTGCATCTTATTAATTGGTTTGATTAAAAAGCAAACCTTGAAATTTGAATTTAGCTTTTAATTGATGATTGTGAATGTTGGTTGTGAATTTTTAGCTTTTAATTAGTTTTTTCATGGATGTTTATAGGTCAGGAGGAAGACTTTGACTTCGTTCAATCATATGTTGATACGGCTTTCAATGAAGATGATATGTTGTACGATCGTAATGTGACGAACGACATTGAAATTGGTATGGATGACCTGAACACAGTGGGACAAGATGGAATACTAATGCTTGTATGGGAGATGGATGGTGGGAACACAGTTGATGACTTGGAGTATCCATCATCTGAAGAGCTAAATTTGGAATGTTCATCGGACGAAGAGGGTGGGTACCGCTTTCCCAAATTTTTTGCTGAGACATATATAAGGAATCCACAGTTAGAGGTCGGTCAACTCTTTCGATCAATGCAAGAGTTTAGATGCTTGGCAACTGCGGGATTCAAGAGCAAAATTCTTAAGGATTTTCTTTGGCGGGCGGCAAAGTCGACTACCGTCTCCGAATTTAAGATGTGGATGCAAAAAATTAACGTAGTGAGTGATGCTGCATATGATTGGCTGATAAAGAGGTACCCTCAGGAGTGGAGTCATTCACATTTTGCAGTCCACTCGAAGAGCGACATTGTACTTAACAACGGATGTGATGTGTTGAATAAGACGTTGCTGAATGACAGAGAGAAGTTGATCCTGAACATGCTTACATCAGTTCAAATGGCTTTCATGACAAGGATACAGAAAAGGTGAGACAAGATGGTCAGATGCCAAGGTCGTTTATGTCCAACGATACGAAAAAAGTTGGACAAGATAGACGAGATGTCAAGAGAATGCACTTTGCACTTCTCAGGAGGGCCGATGGGCAAGTAAAGTGCAGTTATGGGACATTCGTTGTTGATCTTGAGGAGAGAACATGTGCATGCAGGAAATGGGTTATCACAGGTATACCATGTATGCATGCCGTTGCCGTCATACGCGATTGTAGGAATGAGCCAGAAGATTTTGTTGACAACTGTTACAGTATTGAGACATACATGCGATGTTACATTACAATAATATCATGAACCTAAGTAATGGGAAAATATTGTGGCCTGAGGTGGATGTACCTGTAATTATGCCTCCCAAATGGACCGTGCCCCACAGGGGAAAAAAACAGAAGAAGAGGCGAAAACAGCAGAAGAAATGATTGTGAACACGAAGGGAAAAACATATGTGAAGAAGAAGGGGGTTTGTGACGATGACTTGCTCGCACTGTGGGTTGAAGGGACACAATAAGCGAGCTCATTCCATTTCAAATGCACCAGTTGATGTACGTATAATCCTTTATTGGTGCATTAACTTTGACTTTTTTTTTTCACTGATGTCATATTATTAATTTCTGTCTTATCACATGATTGGGTAGAAGTCAAAATAGAACCAGTTCCATACAATTGCAATGTATCGACTAATGAACAAGTACGAAAATTTCTAGTTGCAATTCATTGTCTGATTTTATAAAATTTGGTCGGTATTCGTCGTTACAAATTGTATCTTTTTCCTTATGATTTCATAGGGCAAAATGACTGCAAAAGGAAAGGGATCATTGAGCAAAGACATGCATGAAGAAGATCAAATGCAATTCATGCCTATACCTATGGTTACAAGAGGATCGCGTATGGGGATCTTGGCGGGTGGACCACCAGCTACTTTGGTCGATGAGTTGCAAAATGAGAGACGAAAGGGCAATATATAGGCTGAACATCTCGTTTGCATAGACATTTTTTGTCAATGGAGGCTATCTATTTGTTTTATTTCTGTAGTTGGGATGATCTATATTGGTGTTTTGTATAATTAGTGCATTGCTCACTGGCGAACAACATGGATTGTGAAGTAGACTGGTTTTTGACTAAGCTGTTATTGCATAATGACTGGAAATGACATTTGAGCTTATATATTGGGTTTTTTCTGTTTGAGAAATGACTTTTTTCTTTTCTTTAGGTCAGAACCTATCAAATTTACTTATGCTTGGGTTATTGTACAGATTTGGTGGTATATATTTAGACACTGATATTCCAGTATTTAGCCATTTGAACATTGCAAACAGAGCAAGGAAGTGGAACCGATCACCAAACTCACTAGCCATTTATTCTAATTTCCGCATCATTGAAACTTGAGGCTTCATGTGAAATTTCCATATAGCTGCTCCCGCATCATTTTGTTACCAAAAGTGGTATGGTTAAGATAGTCGATGGAAAAATTAAAATAAAAAGGGCATGGAATACTGTGTTGTTAAATCAAGTGCTTATAACCAAATAAAAGCAACAAAAAACGAAAGAAGTTTTTGAAGAGCAGTTTTCCTCTCAGCAGTGCTCAATAGGTTTGTAAAATAGCCCCACTAGAAAATTATACGTACTTTATCACCTCAATAAATGTATGTCCTGAGCAAGTTATTAAGATACCAAAACTTTCAAAAATCTTGATAAGTCAAAAGTAATCTCAGAAGCAACAGTTAATAATCAACCTAAAGACATACATAAGTACTTTCCAAATTTCAGATCATACAATACTAGAATCCATGAGCATGTTTCCAAATGAAGCAAAATACTAAGTCGAAGTAATTCACGGATATTTTCCCTTTTCTTTCCCTTCATCCTCTGCAACTCTTTTACCCTTGAGGAACGTGATGTTGACGATTATTTTGACGTTTCTCTTCTCTGTGATTTTAGCGCATGTCTCGAACATACTCGATAGATCTTCAACTCCTTCTGTAGCCTCACCTTTATTGGATTCACCACTCGAGTCCTCTTCATCTTTCCACGCAAAATGACCGCAGTCTCTAGTATATCAAAAGAATAAGCGCCCTACGTTTGACGTACTTTTCTGAACCTCCATACATTTCTTGCTGCCATTACCACATTTCGGGCATTGTTTCTTTGTTGGGCAATCAGACAAGAAGTGTTCAGGCTTCCTATTGTTAGCCCAAGAATAACTAATCAAAAGGGGGGTGAATTGGTTTTTAAAACTTTTTCGAAGAATTAATCTAAATTCAAGCAAGTAAATACTAATAGATTAATTCAAATAGTAAGTACAAATATAAAAGCGATAAGTAAAAGGGAGAGATGATGCAAACGATATATTTGTGGAGGTTCGATCCAAAGCAATGATTTACGTCTCCCGCTGTCACGCTCTCCGGTACGAGCAAGGCCTTTTCACTATGTTGATTGACTTATGGTGCAATCCAACCCTTTACAACGCTTTCGGTGACTTACAAATAAGGAGCATCGATCCTTATATAATGTTGAGTTTTACGGGACCTCAACACGACCCACACTTTTGAGCTTTACGGCACCTCAATATGACCAATTCGGTGACTTACAACAAGGGGCACCGATCCTTATACAATGTTGATCTTTTAAGGGATTTCAACACGACCCACATTTTATCAAAGTGATTTTACAATGAAATTCTTCTCTTGATAAATAATCCAAACAAATTAAGTACTAAGAGAGGCTAACACTTCATTCAATAGTAATAAATGATAGCTCAAGTGTTGATGAAAAACTTTGATGAATATGATGATTTTACAACTTTAGTTCAATCAATCAAAGTTTCAATATGAAGAAAAAGAATAAAAGTTTATGCAATGTAAGTGTAAAAATCTTCTTCAAAAATATTTATCTTTCAAAATTGATAGAGATAAATTAAGCACAAAGAGAAATGAAAAACTTTGATAAGAGAAATGATTCAAGAAGTTTGATCAATAAATAAAGTTTTTACTATGATCAAAGCATTAAGGATGAAATCAACCATATATCAACTTTATGGTGGCGTTCTGTTATGGTTTTTTAAGTCAGAAATTTTTGTTACGATGGCAGTGGCGATGGTGTTCTGTGCGCATTTCTTGGTTTTCTTCGAGGAGGGTGTAGCATTGGTAGTGAGAGTGGTGGGAGAGGAAGTTGTGGTGGTGATGATGATGATAGTGCTCAAAGATGATAGTAATGGCTAAGTGGTAGTGTCTCGTTGGAGAAGAAGAAGAAAAGAGGTTTTGATTTGGGGGTTTATATATTTATATTTATTTTTTGGGTGTTTAATTTAATTAAATAACTTATATGTAAAGTACAATTTTGCCCTTTATAATTCGGTCAAAATTCATCAAATTTTTCATTTTTTGGTCAATTGACGGAAAAGTGGACGGTTTTGGTCCAAAATGAACTCCATCTACATATTTATGAAATGTTAGGGATCTTCATTGTCACAAAATGAAGATTATGGTAAAGTCTGCAAAAATTGGAAAGGTTAGGGATCGCTGCTACAATTTTTCCAAACAATAATTAAAGAAATCAATTACAATGATACCACATGTCTTATTTTATATCATTTTTAACGTTGTATCAAGTCGCGATACATGATTGGGCGATTTTTAATTTGCACCTAAACCAAGATGTCACGGAACGTACACCTACCGTAGTTCAATTAGATTATCTCTCAATTCTTTGCTCAGTTAGAGATTGAGATTCTCTCAGGAAACATGTATCACACAATGCTGAAGCTTTTTCTTCAATACCTTTTCATATCACTCTTCCTTTTGAGTTCAGGATTTTGCATTGAATCAGACAATATCATAGCCAGTTCAGTTCTCAAAGACGGTGACACAATAGTATCCAGTGGCAAGGTTTATAGATTAGGGTTCTTCAGCCCAGAAAATACTACTAACCGCTATTTGGGGATATGGAATAATGTTTCTGCAATATCTATAATATGGGTAGCCAATAGAGATAAGCCTCTCAACGACTCTACTGGGATTGTAACCATATCCGAGGATGGTGATATTCTACTTCTTAATGGAAAAAATGAGATTTTTTGGTCATCAAATGTTACAAAGTCTCCAATGAATACAACTGCTCAGCTTTTGGATAATGGAAATCTTGTTTTGATAGACAATTCAAATGGGAGAAACGTATGGGAAAGTTTTGGGCATCCTACTGATGCTTTTATGCCAAAACTTAAATTAAATGACAACCCAAGAACAGGGGAGAGAGTATTGCTAACTTCATGGAAAACCCCACAGGATCCAGATTATGGAAGTTTTACAGCTGGTTTACAAGCTTTAAACATTCCACAGATATTCATATGGAATGGGAGTCGTCCACACTGGCGAAGTGGTCCATGGAACGGTCAGATTCTTACCGGAGTCACAGACATGTATGCGGTGTACCTTGATGGATACAGTGTAACCAAGTTCGATGATGGTACTGTCTCGTTTATGCGAGATTACTACGGTAAAATCTTAATGAAGATAATTCTGAAACCAAATGGAAGTTTTGTTCAAACAATGTGGGATGTTAACAGAAGGGTTTGGAATGTTACATGGATAGCTCCTATAGATGTTTGTGATGTTTATGGTAAGTGTGGGCCATTTGGAAACTGTAATCTACGAAATTCACCAATGTGTAGTTGCTTGAAAGGATACGAACCCAAGAACAAGGAGGAATGGGATAAAGGGAACTGGAGGGGTGGATGTGTGAGGAAGACATTGTTGCAGTGTGATAGAAATAATAATTCAAGTGATAAAAACAAAGAAGATGTATTTTGGAAGATAACGAACGTGAAAGTTCCGGACTTTATGGATGTGTCGACTAGTCTAGAAGCAGAAGAATGTGAAGGTTTGTGCTTGAGGAATTGTTCCTGTGTAGCCTATTCACATGACCCCGGGATTGGTTGTATGTTCTGGAACAGAAGCTTGATCGATGTCCGAGTGTTCCCTGTTGGTGGCTCGGTTCTTCAAGTTCGGGTGGCATATTCGGAGATTGGTACTTCTCTTCCTTAACTAGTACTAATCAGTTACACTCACTCATTAATTTATTTCCTTCACATTTTATCGATATGAACAGATTGATGAAATTATTATCACATATGTATAGATTTGATTTGATTTTGTTGTAATTCAGATAAGAAGACAGACATAAGGGTGATTATCATTGTTCCAGTAACGGTTGGATTAGTTATCGTGTTTATAAGCGTATTTTTTGCTTGGCGGTGGATGTCTAAGCGAAAAGGTACTACTAATCTGAATTCTTGTTAGAACATATATATGGAGCTGACAGTTAAAGATAAAATCCGTTGTCTTGTTAATCAGGGGCTAAACGAAAAGGCAGAATATTAACATATGAAGTAGGGAAAGCATATATATCAGGTTCAAGTGGCGTTGTTCTTAGAGATAATATTGATGAAGCTAGTCTGGACGAGTTGCCATTATTCAGCTTCGAGATGCTGGAAACTGCAACTTTTCAATTCGATGTGACTAATCTACTTGGGAAGGGCGGGTTTGGTCCTGTTTACAAGGTAATATTCATCCTTAATACCGATTTCGTCTTATGTACGTTTTAGTTTATGATGAAATTTCTTGCTTATGTATATAGGGAAAGTTGGGAAATGGAAAAGATATTGCA